CGGTCCTCCTCTATGTTTGTTCTAATCATGACAATCTCCATCTCTTTGTAATAGTCATCTACACTCATGGAACATTGAATCAGCCCTTGCAACTTTTTATGCAAATCTTTATAGTAATGGTTATGTATAAATCTCTTGCGCATTGCCAATTTCATCTCTTCCCATGACCGAATTGGCCTCTCCCCATTCCTACGCCTATTGATCACTAATTGATCCCACCATATGCTTGCATAATCTGTGAACTCCACGACTACTAGTTTTACTTTATTCTCCTCGGAGTAATCATGGCAATCAAATACGTGCTCAACCTTTCTTTCCCACTCMAAGTATAGTTCGGGATCATTCTTTCCTTGAAAGGTCAGAATCTTCATCTTTATGCTGCCCAAATTGCTATCTCTTTTGGAAACTGCCTTCTTGCCTCGTCTAGAACTTGATTCCTCCAAATCTAAATCATCTTCTTCTTCTTCCTCAAACACACGTCTTCTAGTGGACTTAGAAATAGATGGGTATTGCAAATCATCTAGCCTTGCATTCAACTTTCTAAATTGTTCATTAACAGCCCTTATGAATAATTTCATGTCAATCTCTTGTGGTTCTCCTTCAATACTCATGTTTATAACCTGCAAAAACTCGCTGGAAAATAAAAGAAATTTTGTTCCTCACCTCTCTTTGCCCCCTTTTTTTTTGTTCCTCACGTGTCTGCACTCAAATCAGATTGTTATCACTTTCTGACTTTTCTCGATGATGATCTCACCTCTCTTTGCCCCTTTTTTTTTCACTCAAGGCAGCCCCCTTTATGTTCTCAACAGAATCAAGATCAACAAATCTCAAGGAGCAATCGGTTAGATGATGGCAAATCTCAAAATCAGAACTTTAAAAACTTAGTTGAGGCAAACGGTAGAAATAAGGAAGGAAAAATCAATTATAGGAGCCAAAAAAWAAGAAAACTTCAAAATGAAGCAAAAGACATGCAAAAGAAATCACTAGAATATGGAGCACGAAATTAAATTAATTTAGACACAAGAATCCTTATTTGATAAGGATTAGTACTAATTAATATAGTAAGACAGTTGTTTAAGGAAAAGAAATCCCAGTTCAAAAAGGATTGGACTGGCTCTTGAAGTAGTCAACTAGTCAAACCCAAAAAAAATATGAAATATGATATTGCAATTCAAGAAATCCCATCCATGCTGGGAGAATGAAAAAAAATCAGATCTGCAATCTAACTCTTTTTTTTTCGAATTGGATGTTCTTTTCTCTCTCTCTCTTTTTTTTTTGTCAAACTAAACACACAAAACAGAAATGACTCTATTCAAAAACACAAAGAAGCCGAATGGAAGAATTCAAAGAAACTATGCAAGGATAACACAAGAAACACGCAAATATCAAAGAAAAACACAAAATTAGGATAAACAAAGGATAAGTAACTTGTTTCTAGAACCAAGGCTCTGATACCAAATGATAAGAACCCACTAGACGACCTGCTCTAGGAACTCTTGAATCAATTTGTTATGCGCACTCAGAAGCTAGAAAACAAGTTGTAGTTGATCAAATTAGAACCTTAAGGAAACTAAGTCCTTAAAGAATCCAATCTTGAAGACGCCACAAAGGTTGATCACTCCCTTGATAAGTCAAGATATTGTATTCTACTAAGAACACAAGAAGACAAAGCTAAGTTTACTAAAAATACCTCTATATTACTAATGATTTTCGTTTTACACAGTTGTGGCCTTTATATAGTCATGTAAACATCATTATCTTATAAGAAAACTCCTAACTAATAAGGATCCCTTTAATTTAGGAAAATAAATCTGCTTTGAAATAGGAATCCTTCTAAAAGACTACAACTAATGACAACTAAGCATAAAAAAGTCAAAGTAAAACAAAACAAGCCCATCAATACATCTTAGCATGCGAATTGGGTATTTTCTTATCATGTCCATGCGCCAAGCCCATCAATACATCTTATGTCATGGATTCCAAGCTTTGTTCTTCAAGATTCAAGCCTTGCACATCGTCTTGCACATAAAGATGGGTGATTATCCTTGGTGAAGCTTTGGAAACTTCTAGAACTGTCTTAGAATCTTAAACTTCTAGAACTGTCTTAGAATCTTCTAGAAAAACCTCTTTGTCATACACTTTCATGATTAAGCCTTGTAAAGCCTCTTTCATCCTTTTTGTTCTTGCCCTAGCCATTGGACCACTGATTCCTTGCAAAGGATCTTGAGAATATTTGGGAATATTAGTTTGACCCATTTGGCCAGCACCTCGATCTCCATTATCATGAGTCTCTTTAAAACTCTTGAATGGGATTTTCATTCTCTAGGGGAGCTTAAAATACCCAAACGTCCCCCCTCCCTCTTTCTCTTTAATAAATTGCATTTCTGCTCTCTTTAATGAGAATTACATTTTCTAGGGGACCTAATAAAATATCCAACTTCTCTTTATCTCTCATTAACACACTCTTAATTCTCTCTCTCTCTCTCTCTCTCTCTCTAATAATATAATAATTCTTTAGGTTGTGTTTAGAATTAGCGTTAAACATCATCGGTGTAAAAATACATCGGTGATATTTTACATTGAACCATCATTAAGTGACCGTTGCATTTTTGAAAAACATGATGCAATGAGTGTAAAGTTTTACATCAATAATCAATGTAAAACTTTACATATGATGAGGTTTTACACTGATTCACAACGTAAAACTCCACTCCATCCAAATGCACACAAAACTAAACCAAAGTGGAATTTTACGTTGATCATTATTACACACTCTTTCCAAATGCAGACAAAACCAAACCAATGTAAATGTTTACATCATTCTTGATTTACTCCAATTCCAAACGCAGCCTTAATAATATAATATATTGATAATAGTGTAAAGCTTTATTGATGACATGATAATAGTGTACAATTTTATTAATAACAATGATTTTTTTTTTATATTTTTAAAATAAAAGCAAATAAAGAAATATAAAAAATGAGAAAATAAATAAATAGCTTATCTCAAAAAAGAGACATGATGACATGGGCCCTCTAATTATATATATATATATATATATATATATATGTATGTATTAAATTCAATAAATCCTCTTATTCAAGTCACCTGTCTAAATACTGGGCAGTGATACGATAGAAGTCGTGGAAGAGATTCTTGTTTAGTTGCATGAAAGATATCTTCCCATGATAAAGAAATTAAAAATCTGTCCAGCTTGACCAGCACAGGATTTTCCTGATTATTTGACCACGTATACTGCGCACCTGAAAGAGGCAGATCCACCAGCTTAAAATTGTTCACAAACATTGAGAAAACCCTCATGGCTTCCATAAATCCAGTGACGTTAAAATCCCCACCAATCACCCAAGGGGTAGAGTTGTCTCTCATCTCAGCCAGCTCCTCCCAAAATCTCTTTCCCTACACCATAGTGACTGAATAATCTCCCACTACCGGTTTCCCCACCCACTTCACTCACAGAACTCTCCGTCCAAATGCTTTCTAATTAAACGAGCGTCCACCCTCTCTAGCTTTGATTCTTGTATAAGCATCACCCCTACCTTCCACCTTTTAGGAACTCACTCACCACCACTCTCCTTCTGCCCGACCCTAAGCCTCTAACATTCCAAGATAGAAATTAACTCCATTAGAAAATGGTTGAATAAACCCTCTCCTAATTCATCCTCTCCTCTTTTCCCTTCCCTCCCTCTATTCGGTAGGCCCCATGATAGACGTTGGACTTCTTTGGAATTCTTCCCTTGCCCTTCTTTTTTACATTTCTTTTCCCCTTCTCTTCTAGAATGTTTCTTAAGGATTTCTTCAATATATTTTCATTCCAATCTATCATATGCTTTTTCTATGTCAATTATATAAGCCATGAGACCCCGTTTGCCTTTTTCTCTTTTAATAGTGTTTATCATTTCTTTTGTTTTTATTAATGATGTTTATCATTTCATGGGCAATCAAAATATTGTCATTTATTTGCCTACCTGATACAAAGTCACTCTGATATAGAGCTATAATTTCTCCTAATGGTGGCTTTAATCTATTAACCAAAATTTTTGCTATTATTTTATAGGTTATATTACACAAACTTATAGGTCTGAATTTTTCAGTCTTGTCTGGGTTGTTACTTTAGGGATTAGAGCTATAAAGGTTCTATTTATATCATTTGTCATTCTTCCTGAATGGAAGAAAGCTTTCACAGTATCCTCCACTAACTTTCCAATGATTGTTTTATATTTTTTAAAGAAAAAGCATTTAATTCAGCTGGTCCGAGAGCTTTAGAGTCCACCGTTGAGTTCACAGCATCCCAGATTTCTCGATGAAACCTGCCTGATTAGAGATTCGTTATGGCTATCATTGGTAACAACATTTTGATTATCTAGCACAGTCTCTTATTTCTCCTCCTTTGTATCTCTCTTCAAATGTTCTGACAAAAAAAAAAATCCTTTATTTCAGATACTCCTATCCAGTTATCATTCCCATCCCTAATCTTGGGGAATACTATTTCTGCACTTATCACCTATTTGCATCCAATCCAGTCTGGATTTTTGCGCCCAGAGGATTTCATCTATGCATCCAATCCAGTCTGGCTATTTCCTTGTTGATAAGGTCTCTTTTCCCAAGATTCTCCATCTATTTTTCCTGGACAATAAGACAATTTTCATTCATTTTTAGTCCACTTTTTCATGTAATGGATATTTCCAAATGCTGCTTTGTTCCACCTCTTTATTTCAATAACAGTACGATCACGTTTTTTAACAAATTGTTGGCCTCCTGAACCCATATCCCTCTCGAGCAAGTGATGAGAACAGGGAAATGGCAAATTACAAAAACATTTATTTTTTGGTAATAAGAAGAAAGCAAAAGAGACAAGACAAAAACAATTTCATACTTGCAAAAATAACCCTACCCCCCCCCTCGCCATTTAATTTGAGCTACCAACTTTCCATCTGATACGAGCTAACAATGGTTATCTGCCATTATAGAAGATAGAAGATTCAAATTTTGCATGAACCACGTTAATGTACACAAGCAAGAGTACTTTCCTTATGCTACCAGAAAATTCTTTAACCCTCCATAAAAGGGATTGACACAGATCAACTTGTAACGAGTACAGCAATCGGACATGTCTTACTGAATTCCTGTTCTGTACAAACTCTCACAATTGCCTGTGGATTACTGTAGCGGTCAAAAATGGAATAGTGCATAAGCACACTTTCTGTACAAACTATATAGGAAAAAAAAATAAAAAGAAAATGTTCCTACGAGGCCTGATGGTCCTCCAATCAAAGGTAAATGAAGCTTGCTTGCAACTGTTCACCAATTATTAACTCCCAAAGATTACTTCCCTTTGGATTGAGACTAGATAAATTGATTCGTCACTTCAAATGTACATCAAAAAGTACCATTTCCCCAACAATCTGAATTATGTAGGAACACGCCTACCTGAAATCCACAGAACATTCATATAATAATAAGTCAAAAGTGAAGAGGCAGTTATACACGCCAAAGCATATGCATGAAAAATGCAATCAAATGCTACAGATTATGACTATGTTCCAAGTACAAAACCAAGAAGGGCACAGGCATGGCAGTAACCATGTAATCAAACTTAGGAAAACTGTGGTCTGGTTCTGGACCTTCTGGATGGACCCAGTTTTATTATTGAAACTCCAGCAAAATAAATAGATAAAATCCTGAAATTATGGGTACAAATTCCATGATTGAATACAAAATAGAGGTGGGAAGGCAATTAAAATAATGCACAAAAACTATGTCAACAACCACACCACAACAGATTTTATTATTGGACTTCAATCATGGGTAGAGGACATTCCTATGTTGATTGAAGGATCATCCATGTTTAAACTTTAAAGAAAGGACTTGTTTACAAATACTACATTAAAAACAGAACAATTACACGAGCAAGAAAGGTAAACTTTCTTAACTCTCCATATCATAAATTAGCTAATACAACTGAGCCTAAAACATATGACTCCTTCCCACCACTTGCTTTGCTAATACATCAGCAAACCCATTTGCAGTTATTTTTACCCAATTAAACTTCACATCCACATGTTTTGTGTTAACCAGTTAAACCTTTTCTTTTCATTATTAAAAACCAAAAGTTCTTGTCCTTCCTTCTGCAGCCACTCCACTACCAGCTCTTAATCGCCTTCTATAACCAGCTTTTTTATATTCATGTCCTTCGCCTTTTGCAGTCCCGCCATGACAGTCAACACCTCAGCCCTTGAATCACCTACTCCTATTGGGCCCGAAAACAGGCCAACGATTCTGCCTTCACTCTAAACACCCCTCCAATACCAGATGGGCCTGGATTACTTGCACTACTTCCATCAAACTTCCATCAAAGTTTAACTAAATACAATACTTTACCTTACCTTCTCAAAAAAAAGGGTTTAACTTTATGTAGTCATTCAACAGTAGAGACCAGATCGGAACTGTAGTGAACCTATGAACCTCAGAATTGACCACTTCCTTCCAACTATTAAGGAAATCACTAGTTGAGCAGGCATTAAACATCTCCATAGATTTTACCCAATGTATCACTGTCACCATGATTATTTCTTTGACATCCTAAGTAGTTCTTTCCTTATCTGAAAACAGTCTTGCATTCCTTTCTTCCCAAATGGTCCAGCAAACTGCCGCTCTTACACATCTCCATAACACTCTTCCTCTTTTCATTGGACACCTAAAGAAGTCAGAAGCAAACAAGATCCCCATTGATGCCAGCTATTAAACTTTTAGTCTAGTTAATCCTCAAGTTGGGCATCCTCTCAAATAGTTTTACCACCAATTTCAAGTTTTCCACCCCATTCTACAATCCCCATCACAAAAGACTAAAATATCATTTGCAAACTACAAATGAGTAATCAAGGTTTTGTCTCTACCTACTGACCAGCCCTTGAACAGTTGTAGGCAATTAGCTCTTTTTTTTTATCAGTACCAAGAAAAATCTATTAATTAGAAGAGAAAAGATTGGGCAGCCTCGGCTACCCCATTACACAGATAAGCAACAAGAAAACACAACAGTAAGAATGACTAAATCATTACAAATGAGCCCAGAAGCACTGTGCCCTGTTAACCCCTTGTTTTGCTAGTTGATCTGCAATATTTTTAGCCAACCTTGGGACCCACGGAAATTCCACCTGCCTATGATTACCTTTGAATCTCCTATTATCAATTTATTGACTCCTATTTCAACAGCTTTTTGTATCCCAAATGCCATAGCATTCCATTCTGCTGATATGGAGTCCCCTGGGCTAAGAGGCAGGAATATAGTCCCAAAATTGCTCCACTGTCACCTCTTATCACCCCTCCTATTCCAGAGGACCCCAGGTTGCCCAAACTGCTTCCATCAAAATTTAGTTCAAGGAAGCCATTCACCAGTGGATCCCAAGATTTTATCAGTTTCCTCTTTGAACGAGAAGAAGCTGCCATTACCTTCCAGTTCCTGGTTAAATCATCATGACTAAAGTCTGAAAACAGACTTAAAGTCTTAACCCAATGTACCACCCTCACCATAGCCCCTTCTATCACAGCTTACTTGCTTCTTTTCTTTTCCTCAAAGATTCTCAGGTTTCTTTCCTTCCAAATAGTCCATATGATTGCTGCCCTCGTACATCTCCACATTACCCTCCCTCTCTTTTTTGGCCACCTGAGAGTAGAAGGATCAAACAAACACTCCGACTACCTGGAGTGTTCCACCTGCACCCAAAGAGTGAGAAAAACCAGTCTCGAATACAGCAAGCAAAAGGGCAGGACATAAGAACATGATAAGCAATTTCACCATTAGGTTCACATAGGTAGCACCAGTTTAAGGAGAGGCACCATCCTGGTCTCTTTCTCTGTAATAAGTTACAGGTATTGATTGCCCCATGGAAGACCACCCAACAAAAAGCACCAGCACCAGTTTGGGGAGAGGCACCATCCTGGTCTCGTTCTCTATAATAAGTCACAGGTATTGTTGCCCCATGGAAGACCTCCCAACAAAAAGCACCTATCGTGGGGGGAATAGGTCGACATCAAATTTCTTTACATGGGCAAGACAAAGGAAGTGGAGTGGAGGAAGTCAAAAACTCAAAGAAAGAGGCACAACTAAACGACCCAAAAGGGTTCAAAGTCCAGAAACAATCATCTCCTTTGCTAGTGTCAAAGAAAACCCCATCAATTTGCAAAAGATTTGATACAAGGTCCAGTTCTGAATCTCTCACATTTCTCCGCAGACACAAATTCCAACCAAAATCGGAGGGAGAGGGTGAGGGAATCAAAAATTTTGAAATTGGTTTGCCTTTGAATGAAGATAGTGCATAAATAAAAGGAAAAGGCTCCTTTAGGGGAGCTTCACCCACCCATTGATCTTCCCAAAATTTAATTTTATTGCCTGAGTTGAGATCAAACCTGATTTGAGCAAGGAATAGAGGAAGAACTTTGTGAATGACTTTCCAAAGAGAGGCACTAGACACCCTCCTAGAAACTCCAACATCCCAACCATTCTCTAAGAGTCCATGAATGCTAGCCACCACCTTATGCCGTAGTTTATTTGTTTCCCATGTAAATCTCCAAAGCCACTTCCCTAGGAGTGTTGAGTTCTTCTCTTTCAATCTCCCTAAACCGAAACCTCCCAATTCCTTCCCTTTGCACACTACCTCCCATCTAATTAAATGATCTTTCTTCGCCCCCTGGTTCCCACAAAAAATCCCTCATTAGTTTTTCTAATTTTTTTAATAATGGTTTGGGGCATGCAAAACACAGATAAGTAGTCTACCCCAGAGAAAAGTAACTTCTCCACCACTGGGTTCCAAAAACCCAGAGTTCTCAGGTTCGCACCAATAGGAAGACCCAAATACTTCAGTGGCCACTCATTAGATAGACACCCTAATTCCCCCACCCACAGATCTAAATCCTCCTCCAAATTGACCCCAGCCACCACACTCTTATTTAAATTGACCTTTAAATTTTTTGCTTTCTCAAAAAGGCTGAAAAACATTCTAACATTCCTAGCTCCTAACCCATCTTCATGTTCACAAAAGATGATAATGTCATCTGCAAACTGCAGGTGAGTTACCACTACCTTATCCCTTCCTATCTTCCACCCCTTTAACAGTCCCACTTCATCGGCTTTTGAAATTAACCTACTGAACACTTCTACTATGAGAGTGAATAAGAAGGGAGAAAGAGGATTGAGGATTCCCTTGCTTCAAACCCTTAATGGAACCAAAAAAATCCTTCATCACCCCATTCACCAATACTGAGAAATGACAAGATTTCTCCAAATCCAATTTGCACACCACACCCTTTTTTCCGGATCTCTTAAAAGCTTCTACACATTCATTCGCAATGAGTATCTGGGATGACAAGCTCCTTGGAACTGAGGAATAACTGAAGGGAGAATCTTTTCCAACCGCAAAGATAGGACTTTGGCTAAGATCTTGTATAGGTTGGTTACCAAACTGATTGATCTAAAGTCCTTGGGATGACATGCTCTTGATTTCTTAGGGATTAAGGCACTGAATGTAGCATTAACACCTCTGTTGATAATCCCTCTATGATAAAATTCCTCAAAAAATTTTCATCAAATCCCCGCTTAACCACTCCCAACATTCTTGATAAAAAGTCATAGAGAATTCATCAAGCCCAGGAGCCTTAGTCCTATACATAGAAAAAATAGCTTCCTTCACCTCTTCCCTATCAAACCTTCTCTCCAATCCCCTCCTCAATGAAAATTCCAAAGTTGGCCACTCCAAGCCTTCTAATTCCCATCTTCCTTGTGCTAGCTTTGTATAGATAGATTTAAAATGGTCCACAAATGCCTTTGCAATTTCCTCCTAATGTGTAACTATGCCATTCTCAATTTCTAGCAAAGAAATTAAGTTCTTTTTTCTTCCATTTGTAACCTTATGAAAAAATTTTGTATTACCATCTCCTTCTTTAATCCATTTCACTCTTGACTTTTGCTTCCAGGTCATCTCCTCCCTCAAGAGTGATTACCAACTCCCTTTTCATTAATATCCTCTCTTTCCTCTCCCCTTCTATCAGTTGTCCTTGTTCCTCCTTCCTATCCAACTCTTGAATTTAGCGGATCAGATTTGATTTTTTTCTCTTCAATTCTTCCAAAATGGTTCAAATTCCACTCCTTGATTTTCTATTTTACGTTCTGTAGCTTCCTGTGGAACTTAATCCCTTCCCATTCAACCTGGGCCTCGTCTTGTTCCCACCACATTCTTGTTTTCTGCATGAAATCAGGGACAATGAGCTACATATTCTCAAATCTAAAAAGCATCGGACCTCCTCCATTTGTTCCTTGGTAGAGACATATTGGCAAATGATCTGAGGTTAACCTAGGCAGGACTTTCCCTAACAAGTTATCCCAATGCTCCTCCCAATCCACAGAAACTATGAATTTATCCAATTTTGACCAAATA